ACACACAAAAAGATGTATTTGGAGGTGAATAATGGGCATAAACACCATTTGTCACAAGAGTAAAGACATCTCAAAATTCTGCTTCTTGCCAAAGTGGACATGTGCTTGTTGCTTGAAAACAAATGAGAAAATAGTGATTTTTATCCAATTATCCCTACATGTATCCAAAGAGAAAGTTATGACTTATTCTGTCATGCTTTTAATAAGATTTTCTTATTAAAATCTTCTTCAATGTGGAGATAGCAAACATTAAAATTGCCAGGAAGCAAAGAAAACAATTACCAGAAGACATTTTCAACCAAATTTCTTGTATTTATTATAATCATGCTTCTCTACAACTAATGATTCTTGTGGTTTGCAAACCGTATGTCTGCCTTTATTTACCTACATAGACAGAATACCGTTTCCAATAGGGGAGGCTCACACAGCCAAGTGTAGAGAGTGTGACTTCAATAAGGCATTCAGTAAAGGGACAGGCCACCCTTCCCTCTCACTGGGTTGTCTCAGGATGCTCTTATGTTGGCATCACATTCTTCCAGGAGTAGAATCAGATCTTCAATCAGGCTGTGCTCTCTGCCATGTGTCACTCTCATAATATCAAAAGCCTAAAAGGAAAGGACAGAAGAGAGATCAGACCCCCAAGCAGGTGAGCCCCCAGCTGCTCCCCATCTTTTCCCCATGAAGCCAGGGACCTGGTGAACCCCAGGGCCTGCAGGGTGAGCAGTCTCTAGCAGGCTCACGGCTCTGTGGTTCTTTGAGCGAGAATACAAAGTGACGGGTGACTTTTCATTGTGGCGCTGGGAAAGCAGACTCACTACTGGAGTCACGCTAGGGCCCAGTGACCAACAATGATCTCCAGGGATTGCCAGTGCTTAGGTTTGGTGGGTAGTTCCAGAGATTTAAGAAGAGCCACTAAAGTGATTAAGTCTTGTGAAAGATGAAACACCATGCTGCTCCCACATTAAACTAATTTTTCTTTTTTGCATGCTGCATTCGATTCTCATCTACATGCACTGTGATTATTATGTACACACATTCTTGTGTTCCTCTCCTATCACATGACATTATGGCATCGGCATTTTGACAGTCCCCGCCTTCACCTCCTATGTTCAGTCCATCATGAAGTTTCGTCAATTCTAACTCCAAAACATTCCTGAAATCTAGGTGGGCTTGTGACTACTTCAGTAAGGTAATACAGTGGAGGTAGGGCTACTGACTTCCAAGGCTAGGTCAAAAAGGCCAAACAACCTCTGCTGCGTTCACTAGTGTATTTGCTTGTGGAACCGTGAGCCTCCATACTGTGAGGAAGCCCAAGCCACATGGAGAGGCCACACACAGGTGCTGTGGTTGACAGTCTTAGCTGAGCCAATCTTTTGAGTCATCTTAGCCAAGGCACCAGACATGTACAAAAGCAGCCTCCAGATGATCCCAATGCCCAGCCAGAAGACAGATTTGTCTTCCCAGGTGAAACCCAGCCACTGCGGAATTCCTAGTGTGTTCTGTTTGAATTCCTATCCCACAGAATCTGTGAGCACAATTTAGTTGTTTACTCCACTAAGTTTTGGGATGGCTTGTTATGGAGCAATAAGTAACCAGAACACCCTCAAAAATATTTTTGCAATCAATAGATTAAAGATAAATAGTATAATCCTGCACTGTCCAAATGGGGGGTGGGATGGGCTGAGGGAAAGGGAGGGACATTGGAACCATTGTATTCAATGTGAATGTGCCCAGGAGACCTGTAAAGACATGACTCTGGTGGCTATTAAACACCCAGCAAAGTACCCAGCACGTTACAGTAGCAAGGCTCCCAGCCTCAACTGCACAGTAGTATCAACCTTCAAAAGAGACACCAGTGCCCAGACCCCAGGCACAATCAGCTGAGACCTGCTCTCTGGGGGGAAGCCAAGCTCCAGGAGGTTCTAACAAGCTTTAGGGCTAAGAACTGATATAGTAAACTCACAACAAATAACAGCAATGTTCATTATTTAATGTTAACTTCTAGCCAGTATAATTACCATTTTAATGGTTGTGTACAATTAATTCCATCATGTTTATCATATTAATCCATTTTTGTTTTTGTGTCACTGTAACAAAATACCTGAGACTGGG